CTGAATTTCGTTACGAAAGTGTTTATGATGCGCCATTTATTGATGAGTAATTGTTTATTTGGCATGTGTTGCCGAGCGTGAATTTGTGGCGTCACGAGAAAAAAGAATGTGGTATCCCTGGTTCTACAAGGCGCACCAAGTCGATTGAAACGGCAAATGAACAAATTTCTTGAATGGAGAATTATCACCCAAGCTGTTCGAACGGCTTCCTACCATATTCTCTTCAACGCCCCCCACTGCATAATTCCATTCCTTAAGTTAACCCATAAAGCGGTTCGAATACTTTGATATGCTGGCTTCAGTTCATCAGGTTATCAAAGAAATTTGCATAAAGCATGTGAACATGAAGTGTCAATCAACCGGAGATAAATAGTTTTTTTTTGACAATAAATTTAGATAAACGTTGTGTGATCGATACACAGCCGCGTGCTGGAAAAAGTTATTTTGAAGAGAAAAAAATAGAGTTGGATTATGTGTGACTGGTGCCACTGATAATCATTGAAAGCGCTATTAAAAGTGTGAACGCATTTCAGCGAACACTTTCCCTGTGGGTCTCTGCTCGCAGGGTAGCGCTGGTTTCGTTCATATGTTTTTCCATCCTTGTTCCCAAGGTTGAGAGGACAAATAATTCGCCTTAGCATAGTCAATGACGGGAGACTTCAAAGGGGTATCTCTTTGTTATGGTTTATGCTTGATCGCGTGGGTTTGAGAGTGCAAACATTCAGCTGTGATCGAAAGCGTATAGTGAGAAGTACAACAACAAGTGAGATTTTCCGTAGATTTTTAGCATTTATAGAGTTTTAATTCAAGTTTTAAAAAGACCGATGTTTAGAAATGCCAGGCCGTAAGTCCCACTTCTTTGTACGTTTCCATGGCAACAATAACAATGTGACGTTTTCGTGAATACACTGGTTTGCGAGCGCGCTGATTCGAAAACAGTTTCAATGAAAAAAGCACTATGTCGGATGTTAATCATGGGGAAAGCGAAGCTTGCGATGAATCACTTGACGAACTCAAGAAATTTCTTCAAGACGGTTGCGGATGTACTCTCGGTCCAAAGAAAGGGCCATGTTGCCGACAGTTTCCAGAAGAAACAGTTCTGTTTAATGTGAACAACTGCCTCGAACTGTCAAGTTTAGAGCTAGATTTGGTTATTTTAACAAGCATTCAGGCGTTCACTCGAAGTGATTGTATTGGTGGCAAAAAAAGTCCTCGATGTACATTTTACTTCCAATCTAAACCAATCTGCAAGGAGATGTTTTTGCACTTTTATGGAATAAGCTACTCGCGATTCCGACGCCTAAAAGAACACTACGAGCAGCACGGTATTTCTCCGCGTCAACATGGGAACACTAAACGACTCCCACAAAACACACTTCCCCAGTCAACCATCGTAGACGTTCACTCATTCCTGGCAAACTACGTGGAGGAAAACGCCATTGTTTTGCCGGGCAGGATACCTGGATTTAAAAATGACGAGGTGAAGGCGCTTTCGTCAAGTGAAACAAAGATAGGTGTTTGGCGAAAGTACAAGACAGCCTGTCGAGCTTCGGACAAACGAGCAGTTGGCTCCTCCAAATTTTTTCAAATGTGGGAACAATTTTATCTTGATGTAGTAATTTCAAAACCAATGACAGATTTATGTATAACTTGTCAGCAGAACGCCAACAAACTTCAACGTGCGGCCAATCTTCCGGAAAGTGAAAAAGCAGAAATACTAAAGGACAATCAGGATCACATCAACTCTGCTCAACGTGAAAGAGAATTTTACAAGAACTCTTGCACAAACTCTCAGAAAACATTAGACAACATCGGAGGCTATGCAATATTGAATCGCACAAACCGGAACGTTTGTTCACTCAAGGCGACAATACACTACTCTTTTGACTTTGCTCAGCAAGTACATATCCCTAGCAACCCTATGCAACCGGGCCCTATTTACTTCAAGACTCCCCGAAAATGCGGAATATTTGGAGTTATGTGCGAGGCAATTCCACAGCAAGTCAACTTTTTGATTGACGAGGCTGCTACGACTGGAAAAGGAGCAAATGCGACCATCAACTACATCCATTATTATTTTCAGCATCACGGACTTGGGGAGACCGACGCACGTCTCAACGCTGACAACTGCTCTGGCCAGAATAAAAACACTTTTTTTCTATGGTACCTGGCCTGGAGAATTATGATGAACCTCCATAACACAATCCTGTACTCGTTCCTTATTGCTGGCCACACGAAATTTGGGCTTAACTGCAGAATACCCTGCCACTCCAAAACACATCTAGAATCCGTGGCTACGCGGCTACGGAGCTACACCGCTAGGATGCTAAGTGGCTACGTGGCTACGGAGCTACACAGCTAAGCAGCTTAGTGGCCTGGCGACGGCTTGGCGACCTGGGCACTACATGAATATATCTCGTTCTTTAATCCATGACCCGAAACAACTGCGCTAAACAAGCGCGCTACACATGAATATTTCTCGTTCTTTAATCCATGACCCGAAACAAGCGCGCTAAACAAGCGCGCTACACATGAATATATCTCGTTCTTTAATCCATGACCCGAAACAAGCGCGCTAAACAAGCGCGCTACACATGAATATATCTCGTTCTTTAATCCATGACCCGAAACAAGCGTGCTAAACAAGCGCGCTACACATGAATATATCTCGTTCTTTAATCCATGACCCGAAACAAGCGCGCTAAACACGAATATATCTCGTTCTTTAAACCATGACCCGAAACAAGTGCCCTGGTTTCGGCTCATGGCTGCAAGATACAACTTATCACACACAATGCCCTCGATCAAAAGATCACATTATTTGGCCGCCTAAGCAACCAATAACTGCATGATATTTTCAATTCAACCAAAAAACTTTACTGAACATGATACATTTTCTTACGGTATATCCAAAACTCCTTTATTGAAATTTCAAACTCTTTCCGCAGATAAACAGTTCTTGCAACACAGGGCATCATACAGCAAAACTGTGTCATATAATGTACAATACTTTCAATTAACACAACTCAAAGTTAAACGTGTTCATATTTGCTCTTACACTGCTTGAACCGATTGGATAAGATTCTGACATATTTTCAGGAAATACATTCTTCTGATTATTCAAATTTGTAAATTTTCTTAATGTCATTTAAAAACACCTTCCACAAATCTTCTCCACTGTGGATATATCGCCATTTGAACTCAGCTAGGTATGATGAGTAGTGTTCTTTTTTACGACCGTGCGTCGGAAGCTTCGCTTTCATTTGCCGCCAATGCCCTTCTATCTTGTTTGTATGGAAACCCTCCTCGTTAACGAACTCCACGGAGTGGTTTACTGTCTTATGGATGTACCCATGTTTTGAAAGATTTACGTACCCCTTCCAGCAATCGGACACAATTGTTGTTCCTGGTTCAATCCATTCTTTGATTACATTTAGCAAAGTTTCCTCCGTCCTGTCTTCTACGGTCGCAATAAAACATTTTCGTGAATCTTCCTCGATGCCGCCAAAAACCCACTGACCCTCCACTACATGTCCACGATGGTACTTTCTCTTTCCAATTTTGCTTTCATCAATTTGAACCAGTTTCCCTGGACCGCCAATTTTCTCCCTTCCATCGAACAATGCCACCTCACATACTTCA